TATATTCAACTATTGTTTATTAAATAAGGATTTATCATCTCACTAGAAATACATTTTAAAACATAGGTTTTTGTATAAACCGTAATTCATATCCTAGAAAACCAGATTCAGTGGTGAGCTTAAGTTTATTAAAGTATTTTTGTTTTTCAGAATTAGAATTGACACTTTTGTTATCTTAAACTCCAAAGGGCCATGAACCCTGAGCCTTTTCAGAACAAAATGTCCACCTTTCATACACTTTTTTAAAAGTAGAAACTGCTGTTACATAGATATTCGTGAGAACCTGAAAGAGTTCCTACCGCCCATTCTCCATGGTGACATTCACCTCTAAAAAAAACTTCAGTTAACCTCGAACTTTGAGAAAATTTAATTGATAAGAGGTTGATGTTAATCACCCTAAAACCAGGGAGTAACCCCAAAGCAAAATAAAAATAAGTAAATAACAAAACAATACAAAAAAAAAATACTTGGAATACAGTCACAAAGGTGACATCCAGTAGAGGTGGATGCAATTCCTAAACTAAGCTAAACAAAAAAATTTTTAAATATATCTTTTGAGCCAGTCCTATGGATGAAAACTTTTACATAAATTGTACTTATAGGACATTGCAAAAATTCTATATGGGACAGGGTCCTCCTGTAGTAATCGCCATCTGTCTGAGCACACATCTTCTGTCTCACATCCACTTCTCAGGGCTCTCCTTCTCCCCTCACTTCCCAGCCCTCTCACCAGCTAGCTCCCGCTCACTCTGCCCTGAGTCTGCACCTCTGCATGTTGTCTCCAAAGCCTGCTGCACTCTCCTCCCCCAAGGCACATCTTTTTTCTCCTGAGCATCTAGCACAACACGGCTTGTGGGAGGAGAGGCAGGGTGGGGTGCATTAAGCTCCAGGCTCTGGCAGCAGCCGACCCGCTGGCAGTTTCTACATGTATCCTAAGGAGCTAACAGCAAACTTCTGCCTTCCTCTCAAGGTCATCGTGGGGTTGGCGGTTTCTGGTTTGTGCTGCATGTTGTGACTGCAGATTTGCAACAGGTGTTTGTGAATCGAATGCGTTCACTCTCACCTTTCCCTTCACTCTTGATTTGGTGTCAACCTGACTCTCCCAGCATCATCATTTCTTATGCCTCACGAGGAGAAGATGCCTGGCACAGTTTCCATGGCCAGGTCTGTATCTAAGATCTGTTGCTTTCTACGTCCCATCATGTTGCACTAACTTCTGCAAACTGTTCTCTGCAGCTTCTGTGATCTGATTCTACCTCGTTGGATATGTCTGCCTTTGGCCTCTGTAGCACCATTGTCCTTTGTTACACATTCATATTTGTGATCCATACTTAAACAACATAACTTCCTGCATACTTGTCCTCTTTGAGGCTTAAACCAACCATCTCTGTTCCACATTAGCCACAGTGAGCACTTCCTGCCCTAAACCTCATCCTGACAAGGTACTGTTGCCATTCTAGATTCTCTTGCCTCCCCAACTCCTTGTCCTTAATCCAGTGGTTCTCAAAATGCAGAACCCTGACCAGCAAGAGCAGCTCCAACATCACCCAGGAATTTGTTAAGACATGCATATTCTTGGGTCCCACCCCAAACCTGCTGGGTCAGAAAGTCCTGGGGTGGGGCCAGCAATCTGTGTTTTAACAGCCCTTCAAGGAATTGTGAAGTTGAGAGCCACTGCCTCGGCCCATCTTGTCTCTCCTCCTGCCTTCTCTCTTCCTCCTGTTTGCATTTTACTAATCCTAGTAGGAAACATCTTATGATTGGAAGGCATTGAGTGCTACTTTGAAAACTATGATTACAGATAATTTTAGAAGACAATGTAAAACATCAAAAGAATTTCCAATACTCAGTGATCTCTGTCTCATCCATGATAACAAGAGATGTTGATGACCTAGCTAGATGAAGGTACAAATAATCCATGAACCTCATCTTAATTAGCAGGGTTAAATTCTTTATTGGGGGGGGAGAAAGTTTTTTTTAATAATGCAAATTTCAAAATGCTGGTAAAGATGCTGATGCTGATAAGCAGTACTAATAAATAGTAAAAGGACATGGAAAGCCTAAATAATCTTCAAATTAAAGAAAGTTTTTTTTAATAATGCAAATTTCAAAATGCTGGTAAAGATGCTGATACTGATAAGCAGTACTAATAAATAGTAAAAGGACATGGAAAGCCTAAATAATCTTCAAATTAATCAAACTCAGAATTACCAAGCATTAGGACTTTCCAGCTAATTCCTCAGCTTGATGATGGGTATATGAGGTCTACTACATTAATGTTTCTACTTTTGTGTGTATGTTTGAGAATGTCATAATTAAAAGGTTAAAATATTACTTAAGAGTGGTGGTGTCATTCTGTACCCATATTATATGAATCCAAATCAAATGGTTTTCACTTTTGTTGTTACCCATCTTGGACATAAATTAGTCACAAATTTTCTGTACCTGCTGAATGGTTTTAATTTATTTCTACTATATATGTATATACATATGTAATGTATATGTAGAGAGATATAAAGACAAAGTAGAGAGAGAGAGCAAACATGGTTGTCGATGTTAATTTGAAGAAATTTTCTTAAGATAGGTGCATGGTGTGTATATTGCAGCTGTGTAAATTGGAAAGCCCTTTAGTAAAACAATTTTACAAGCTCCAGGTATGTTTCACTAGACATTAGAATATTAATACACATTAATTTCATTTATTGGAATTTATCCTGAAGAGGGAGAATTCTAATTGCAGAAAAAAAATTGTATACAGGAAGACAGTCCTCATAGCATTTTTTATAAGAACATAAAACATTGGAAATCCCTTTATGACCAATTATAGGGAGATAACTAAGTTAACCTCTGTATATTCTTCCAGTATAATCATTAAGATTGTGCAAATTACAGTGCTTATAATAGTAAGAAAACAGCAAGACACAAAATTTGGTACATGGTAAGGTTAGAACCATGAAAAAAGAGACTTTTTCTGTTAGGTAGGGTGGTAAATGATATGTCTTATTTCTTCCATTTTAATTTTTTCAATGGAAATATATATTTAGCAGTTATAACAATGGAATTCCCAAGATTGTTTCTCCTCCAAGTGGATTGGCCTTGTGACTTAACAAAGGTACTTTTATTAATCATTAGGGAGCTCAAATTTTTAAGAGTTAATATTTCCCAAGCAGAGTGAGCAGTGTTTCCTCCCTGTTCCTAGCAAAGCCTTTAGCCCTGAGCCAGCTGCCTTCATGGAACCAAGATCATAGAGTCTAAAGGACATCATTTTTCCCGGTGATGCTTCTACAGTACTTTTAACTGCAAACTATGGCAATCATTCAGTCGACTCCTTTCCCCAAAGAAGCAGATCTTGGCAGTAGCTATGAGACCCCCTCCCCCTCTGGTTGTCTTGTCTGGGACTTTTATTACAATTGGAACATCAAGAATCAAATGGTTTTCTAGAGATGTGTTATACTGAGTGGCAGCTGTATTATTATTCCATCAACTGGGGACTTTAAGCAGAGCTGCTTCCCAGGGCGTCAGTTTGAACATGCTAAATAAAAGCACGTTAAGAAGACTGGGGAGCATCCATTACAGGATGGGGATGCATTAAAGACTCCCAGTTGAGCTGTGTAATTTCCATAGCATTGGCCTAGAGTGTGCACTGCTCCTGTTTTCTTATTAATGAGTAGTAATCATATTGTTGATCCCAATGATCATTACTTCTACTACTATTTGGGGCACACAGAAGGGCTGAAGGAAAAGAAGAAAAAAGCCAGCACACTCTTCAGATGACAGTGCTTTATATTGTCTGCTTCGGATGATTATTTTGGCATCTATTTTATTTTTTCTGTGTTTACAGAAGATTCAGGTCAAACACTGTAAGTCCTTGAGTCACAGGCTATTTAAAGCTTGTTGGTTTGTAGATTACTCTGTTGAATATACATTTCACTGGGCCAATTCTAAGTGGGGGGGAAGAATTCCGTGCTGTCATGTATCATTAATGTATGAAATCAAAACTATGGGAGGAACATAGCAAAAAGAAAAGATTATTCAAGATTAACCTTGGAGTTACCTTACTGTTTCATTTCTACAAGTAAGTCATCTTTCTTCCGGTTTTACGTCAGGTGCATAGCTTTGCTGCTTTCTGTGGTTCAGACTAGGCATAACTTAGTCTTTCATCTTGGTATTTATTCGTTTTACTGAAACAGCTTTCAGTCCTCTTTAAAAATTAATTTGACTTTAATGTCTAGTTATCTAAGACTCCCCTGGGCTAGAATGAAATCACACTGGGGGAATTTTGATTTGACAAATGGCCATTGTATGGGAGCCTTTGATCCTCCACCATGGTGCTAACTGGCTGCCTCTTGTTTTGCTCAGCTTTAAGCAAGATCAAAGTCTGTTCATCCACACAGCACGATGGGTGATCGGCACTGGGAGAGATCTGCCACTTTCCAGCATCCTTGGGCTGCTGCAGCCTGTTAGGTGGAGATTAGAGCCCTTCAAAACATTTACCCACCTGGATAAAGTGGAAGAGGGTGGAGGTAAACAGAAAACAGGATGAGTTTTTTCCTAGGACCTTGAAGTACCGTGCACTTAGTGCTCACACTACACACGTGAAGCCCTTTGCTCCCTAAAGTAGGAACTGCCAAACCTGGTTTTCCAGTCTCTGAGGCCTGCTGAGCTTTTTCAAGTGTTTAAAAATTATGAAGAATAATTCAATTTAATTCACTTTCATTTTTAAAAAATACATAGAAAATGTGATGGATTATGATTAGAAAGGTAGAGAGAAAACAAGCAAATTGCTGAAGATCATTGGAAATTGTTGCCCTGATGGTTAGACAACATCTCTAAAGACAAAATAAATGTCTTAAAAGCAGGAGAACAGAGGTCAGTGTTAGATATTGGCCTCGATAAAGATCGTTCAGAAGCATCTAGACTCAGCTAGCAGGCTGTAAGTGTCACCCTTCCCTGGAAGGCAGACGTCATCTAAGCCTGTGATCTCCTCCTCTCTCTGACAGATGGGGAGCTCTCCATTTCGAATGAAGACGACTCCCTAGAAAACGGGCAGTCCCTAAGCTCCAGCCAGCTGTCTCTGCCTGCGCTGTCGGAAATGGAGCCAGTCCCGATGCCCAGGGATCCCTGCTCGTATGAGGTGCTCCAGCCTTCAGACATCATGGATGGGCCAGGTAATGTTCCCGGTAGAGTCGTAGAGCAGAATGTGACGCTGGGGACCTTTGGCCTGACTGCACTTGGGATTCTATTTTGGACCATCCTGAGCATAAAGATCAGGAAATTTTGATGAAACTAACCTCACATTAGTTTTTAGTACATACTGAGTATTAAAAAAATCTGGAGGATATTTACACTTATTCTACAGTTTTTAAAGACATTTTTTGTAACCTTAATCTCTTTAAAGAAAATGTGGCTTGTTTTTATCATATCGATTTAAAATGTCATTGTTTTATTCTCTAACACTCATCTCTGATAAGATAAAGCTTAAGAATTCTACACTTCTATATGGTACCTATCTGATTTGCCTGTTTGAAAGACCTGAGCATGCCCATTAATCCTAGTCCCAGTGTACCAGGTAATGACCGTATCAATTTAGTAAATGTTATCAATTTACTGGATACAGTCAATCTAACGACCAATTAAATGTCCTGCCTATAGGTTGTTTTTTATGCTATCTTACCCATTTCCCTCTTTGGACAAAAGTGGTTTGAGTGGCCAATACTCATTCTTTCAGGTTTGCAGAGTGGTTACAGATAGCCCAAAATTGGGTCCCTTCTGACAGCCGGTGAGGAGTGTAGTTGTCAGGAGATGAGTCAGGCAGAATGAACCTCTTGGAATATCTGGAGTTTGGGTAGAAAGGCCATGTCCTTTATCTACACGTGCTGCGAAATCCACGTCTGCAGGAGCTCTTGGCGGAGGCTGGGAGAGATGGTGTTTCACACCTGACAGCCGGTGAGGAGTGTAGTTGTCAGGAGATGAGTCGGGCAGAATGAACCTCTTGGAATATCTGGAGTTTGGGTAGAAAGGCCATGTCCTTTATCTACACCATGTGCTGCGAAATCCACGTCTGCAGGAGCTCTTGGCGGAGGCTGGGAGAGATGGTGTTTCACAAAGTTATTTCCCAGGTGTATTAGTCCATTTTTGTTGCTTGTAACATAAATACATGAAACTGGGTGATTTATAAAGAAAACAAAATTTATTGCTTGCAGTTTCAGAGGCTGGGAAGTCCAGAGTCCAGGGAACCCATCTGGTGAGGGTCTTCTTTGGTGGTAGCTTTACAGCAATGCAGGGGTCTCACATGGCAGAAAGTGGTGGAGCAGAGAGAGCTAACCTTCTCAGCTGGCTTTTTTAAAGCCATCAGAACCACACCCATGACCACCATTATTACAATCCATTCACTAGACATGGTCCTTAAAATCTAATCACCTCTTCAAGGTCCCACCTTTCAATTACCACAATAGGATTTCCCACCCTCAACAATTGCAGTAGGAGTTAAACTCCATTGATTTTGGGGGCCTCTTCAATGCACTGTACCAGGCTTCATTTTGGGATCTGGTGACTCATTGCTCCATCAGCCTGTCCAACATTGACACTAATAGTGTCCCTTGAGGCAGGGGGAGAATTGAGTGCTCCTGAGGATTCTCTGCAGGGCTTTGTTGCTGCACAGAGCACTCCTCTGCAGATCGGGAAGGAGGGAAGAAGGTAGGGCAGGGAGGAGTCACAGGTGGGCATTCTTGCTACAGCAGGGATAGGAGGGGGGAGGTGACTCAATGGAGTTACACCCCCTCCCTCCCAGGAGAGTTTTCCAATGAAAGCAGTGAATTTTTTTCAATCCAACTTCCTGGTGACATTGGCATCAGATGGATTTGATTGTTTTCGTGAGATCTGTCATCCCAGTGAAGTCACAGAGTTTCACTCTGTCATCGCCCAGGCTGTCCACACAGGAGGAAGGCTCATGCTACCACCCATGACAGCTCTTCACTGGGAGCCAGTCAGGGGTTCCCCGTGGGGGAGGGAGAGTCAGGCCCAGTGCAGAGCAACAGAAACGGGCAATTGAAACAAGAAAACTTTAATTCTGGTGAGCAAGAGGAGAGAGGAAAGGGAAGATAAAAAAGTGTTGACTCGAAGCATCCTTTGCCTTGGCAGAGTGTGCAGGTGCCAGCAGGGGCTGGTTACTCTAAAACTACAGAGAACTCACTTGGAGGCTGCTGCTCAGTGCTGACCACCCTGGAATCTGGAGGAGCAGCTGCCCAAGGCATGTGGGTGTCAGACTCCTAGGTTGTCTGGTGGCCCAGACCTGAGAGCAGGGACAGAGCGAGACCCACAGGCAAAACCGCGACCCCGCACTTGTTTGAATCCATTCTCTCTTCCTCCCCAGCAAAGGGCAAACGTCCCGAGAGCAGGTGCAGGTGCACGCTTCTGGTTTGGTTTAGAGGGGGCTCTTCACCCTGGTCCAGCAGCCTGTGTGTCCTGCTGATTGTTACTGTGGTTCCACGAGTCACCTTTTACAGCATGCACAGAATCTATGTGACAAACTCCGAGTTTGAAATGGCAACGTTTTTGATGGCTTTAAGAAAACGTCCTCCTCCTCTTTCTCCCTCTTCCCACCTCTCCCCTCCTTCTTCCTCTGCCTCCTCGCCCTGTCCCTCCTGCTTTATCAGATTTCTGGCGTCCTGGCTTTAGCATTCCACATGTGCCTGACGACCTGAAGCAGTCGGTGCTCTGCTGTGTTGCTAACCCATGTCCCTGTCCTGTGCTCCTCGCTGGCTCCGGCCAGCCCCACCTGCACTGCGTTTGTGTAATGTCTCCTGTGTATAATGTGGTTGTCCCCTCAGTGTCTGAAGAGAGTCCCTCTGCCAGTGAATCTGGAGTCCTCCTGTCCCAAGATCCTTCAGCCAAACCAGTCCTGCTACTGCCCCCCAAAAAACCTGCTGCTTTCTCTGGAGACCATGAGGAGACCCCAGTGAAGCAGCTGTCCCTTCTCAAGCAGCCCCCGGCCCTGCCTCCCAAACCTACTGCCAGGATTGCCAACCACTTAACAGGTGAGTCAAGTCATCTTCTGGGGCGGGCAGCCCCCCTTCCCTTCAAGGGATCGTTTCTTTCTCCTTGCTCTTTTTATTGGTGGCCCGAGCACACCTCTCTGGGGAGGTTGCCCTGAGGGATGTTTTGGTTTGTGTGTGTGTCTTGGTACATGAAGTCGTGACCAGGGTTTGTGCTTTTGTGTAAAGAAGCATTTGATATACATCTACCAGCCATATGCCAAGAGCCTTCAGTCATGTGTATCTGTAAATATGTATGTTGTATTTATGCGACTAATTCAAGATTGTTAGCCCATCTACATGAATTAGATTCAACATCAACATTTTTCTAAAGGTAAAGAACAGTATCTGGTTTCCTTCATCATGGGTTTGCTAAGGCTTTACAATTTTCGTTAGTTATCCATCTGAAGCCCAATACATTTCTTCTACTAAAATTCATTTCAGTACTGTCTGTTCTCGTTTCAAAAAAAAAAAAGGCAAAGACAATAAGCTGCAAAGTACATAGGAAATACATTTTGGAAGAATAAGTTTAGCAATGGTGTCCTAAAATGATATTCATATTGTCATTTTTGAAGCGTTACTTAATGAATGTGCCCACAGGTATTAGATGTCCAGTGACATTGTACTTCACTGAACATTGATTGGCACATAGATCAGATACCACTTTGTGATTTAAGGTTGTGGTATAATCAGAGATTACAAGATTTTAATTGTTATTCATCCAGCCTCAATGATAATCCCGCCTGATACTGATCAACTGCCTTTTTACAATGTGTTTGGTATTTCTTACAAATAGTATCTAATTAGTCTCTAGATAATATTTTGTGACATGTAAGGGGGAGTGAGGGGTGAATGTAGGGAAAAATATTCACCTATCTTATAAGTAGAAAAGCTGACGTTCAAGAAAAATAAGTGACTTTTCCAGAGCTGACAAGAATTCTGTAGTAGAGGCACAACTGGACCCTGTGTTTCCCAACTCCTGGTTCAATGAATGGGGCTCCCGTGGTAGCAGGATGCCTCTTACCTGGTGCTGAGTATTATTACAGCACAGCTTAGGGGCCGACCCTGTGGCTCACTCGGGAGTGTGCGGCGCTGGGAGCACTGAGGCCGCGGGTTTGGATCCTATATGGGGATGGCCAGTGCGCTCACTGGCTGAGCGCGGTGCAGACGACACCATGCCAAGGGTTGCAATCCCCTTACCGGTCACAAAAAAAAAAGAGCACAGCTTAGGCTTTTGTCAGACTCCTCTATAATGTATACATCCATGCACATCAGCCCTTTGAAAGAACAAATTTCCATCTAAAGGAACCATTCAACACATTAATAACACTTTAATTCAGTGTTCAAAACTTTAAATTCACATAAAACCACAAAGGAGAAAAAGTCTCCAAGAGATACTCACTGTCCATCTATCTAATAACATCAAATATTGCTATAAATACATATTGTTTTATCACCTGCTTTTTGCACTTAGTGATAGGCTGTGAACTGATTCTCATGTTAGTAAATATCCCACAAGATTTTATTAGCTGTTGGTGTAGATCTAGATTTACTTACTGACCCCTTAGGGTTTTTCCAACTTCTCTGTTGTAAAAACACAACAAGCATCCAAAATAGACTACATATATCTTTATAAGCATCTCTGAGTTTTCCCTAATTTATTTCTAGAATTGGAATTGCTGAGTCAAAGGCTATGTACCTCTTAAGGCTTTGATGTCAAATTTCCCTTAAGAATGATTAAATATTATACAAAATAACACCCTACATGTAGTACATATTTATTCAACACAGCTACTATAGGCGGAATGCTGTGCTAGGTGTCAACACGGATACCAATCTGTGATGGTTTAATGAATACAGGTGTTACAAATATGAAATAGAGTGCTAAAATAACTTGTTAGGAGTAATACTTGGAGTTTGGTGCAGTCTGATAAAAGGGTAGTGGGGAAGGCTGAAGCTTGAGCTGACTTTTAAAGTGTGAAGGGCATTTACAGAGAATGAGGAAAGGGCATTCCAGGAATGAAGACCCTGCAAAAGGCTCAGAGGTTGAGTGTTTTGGGTCGTTGAAGAGTTGGCTTAGCTGGGGTGGAGGCTTTAATTTGGGATATACTGAGAGACAGATAAGGCCATACGAAGATTCAGATTTTATTCCCTAGGCAGTGGAAAGCCTTTGGAGGTTTTTTGAGCAGGGGAGTGATATGACGAAAACTAGCCTTTAAAATATCTCCCTGGGTCACACTGTGTAGAATGAGCAGAAAGAGGAGAAGGTGGAAGGCCTATCAGAGAAGCCACCAAGGCCAGCTGCAGGCCATGTGCTCCAAAGTCACAAGTCACTTTAAATGGAATGATCTGAGCCAGGGAGACCATGTAAGAAGCTACTCTGGTCATTGAAATATGAGCTAACAGGCATCTGATTGATAGCAGTTGAAGAGAGAGAACAGACCAGTAGATGAGACATTGTGAAAGATGAGTTGACAGAATTTCTTAGCAACACCCTCTGATTTACCTAGTTATCTAATTAACAGAGGCACGCTTGAGCTTCAGCTAGGAGCCCTGAAGCTTGGGTGGCCTGGTATTCATAGAACTCTGTACATATGAAGGACTGAGGATATCTAAATTAGCCCAATCTCTCTGGCTTCCCTGGTCCTTTCCCAAGAGAGTAGACTGTATTATCTGTAAACCTCACCTCCATATAGCTTGGACCAAATGGATAAAAAATATACAAAGGCTAATATCCTTCCCATGTTGTACCTGGTAGCCTCTTAAATACGATAAAGACAAGACAGGTAGAGATGTCTACGGGCTACGAGTCTAGTGCTATCCTTTTGGGTTTAAACCCAATTAGACTTGCATAATTTTTATAAATGAGCAATCAGTCATAATGAATCTGCATCACCATGAGGCAGCTATATTAACCCTGTTCTGTTACTAATTACTCTAGAGACATCTGGCCCATGTCAGAAGGAATTAATAAACTAAGACATCCAGAACTCTAAATTGATACTTAGGAGTTTTAGTATGTTCTTGATGTCTGTCTGCTGACACATTTGAAAGGAAATACAGGACAATCGAAAGACACCATGCATGATTAATGGAGAGTGACAGTTGTTAATGGTCTGATGGATGCTAGAGGAAATATGAGCCTGAACTGGAACTACTTCCAAGTTCATGATCAGGGAGAGACGTGCAGAAATATCTCCACTTTGGTATTTGCTTCTGCTTCATCAGGAAAACCATAATTAACTTGGAGACTATTTGTCTTACAAATTTTCTCTGATCTTCAGCCAGGCAGAGGGAAGCTCTCTCGCTCTCCCAAACCATCTTTCTTCTTCTCCTCTCATCCTCTTCCCTCTCATCCTCTGCACCATCAGTGGCACATAATATAAGTCCAGGAGTTTGAGGGCATCAGATTCCTGCCTTCCCAGAAGTACAATGTCCAGCAGAGCTGGTTGTGATATGAATGTGATCTGAGGTGAATGGTTCTCAAAATGCATCCTTCTTGGAATGATGGGTAAACCCAGAAGAAAAGGGTGACTGGGGCAAAACAGAAAAAAACAAAAAGACCACTGTCTTCCACCTCTCTTAAGTCTTCATTAATCACCTCCAGGCATCCTGACTGCAGAAGTCAAATGTTAAACACTGCATGAATAACCCATGCCTTCTGCATGAGGTACCTGTGATGGGCACCCCATACGTGCCCGTTGAATGTAGGATTATCAGCTTACATGGTAGCTAGACTTCATAGTCTGTAATTTACACTCGGATAATAATAATAATAGCACTTTTTGAGAACTTTGCCTTGTACCACGCAGTCCTAAGAGGTAGATACCATTATCATTATTACTGCTTTTCATAGAAAGTGAACATGAAATTTGGAGAAGTTAAATGACTTGGTCATGGTTACCTAACTAACAAGTGATAGAGGTGGTCTGAAACCTATTTTGTTTGACTCTAGAATCCTCACTTATGGCCATTAGTTTATACCACTTCCACCAAGATACATATTCCAATTTTTTTTTGATCATAAGCTTTATTTTTTAGCTTTGCATGTTTTAATCTGCTTAAGAAATTAGAAAATCCGATTCTTTATTTTTATAACCTATACTGGTCTGCTTGGACTGCCATAGAATAATGTAATCTAGGTGGCTTATACAACAGAAATTTATTTTCTCACAGTTCTGGAGGCTGGAAATTCCAAGATCAAGGTCCGGTAGGATTTGATTCTGGAGAGGGCTCTCTTCCTGGCTTGTAGACAGCTGCCTTCTTGCTGTGTCCTCACATACTGGGGAGAGAGAGAGAGAGATTTGTTCTCTCTTCTTATAATGGCACTAATTCTATCGCATTAGGGTCCCATTCTTGTGAGCTCATTTATTCTTAATTACTTCCTTACTCCAAATACAGTCATACTGAAAGTTAGGGTTTCAACATGTGAATGGGGGTAGGGGTGGGGGGCACAATTCAGTCCATCGCTTAATTCAAGGACAAAGATTATATTGTCTTTCAAAAATAGGTAATGTTCTCAAAGCACTTGGTTATAAATAGGATGACCTGAGTTCAGTTGAGTTTCAAAGCACAGACCAGAGGGAGGCAGTCTGTGAAAGAATCCAGAACAGGGACAAATCACATGGAAAGTGTTTGACCACAATTAGAGACTGACAGTTCAGCAAAGAAAGGAAACCATTGCTGATCCTTAAAAACAAGTCCTTCTGATAATATGAACCTGCCCAGGGTCTATTTGCACTATTGTTAGAACCTACAATACAAGGAGACTTACTATATTCTCAGAATTTAGTTGATCACTAGTTTCCATGTTTCCAAAGTATTTGCAGCTACGGTTTTACCAAGCAAATGGACATCCATGCCCTGTGGTGTATTTCAGCCCCAGCACTTACATGTGTCTTAATGAGAATCCTCTACCCAGTGCTGGTCAAGCCAACAGCAACATTCCCAGCTATCTCTCTAGTTTTGTGAACACCATCCCTGTTCTACAGTCACGTTCAGAT